TATCTAACTGTGCAGCAAACTTTTTCAGTAGTTAATTTCAAGGGAAGGTGCCAATGATTTGGCAATCTCCTGTAATGTTGCCTGTGTGATTTTGATTGCTATAATAAGTGTATCAAAGTGATAACTAGAGCTTTATCTGACACTCTCCAGAACCTTTTGTACAAATACATTTTACACAAACCAAATACAGCCCATGATCCTGTTGCTTATTTTCAGCTACTCCACTGATCTCTCTCTTATATTTTCCAGCGCTTCTTTTATTTATATACTGCTGAGTTCTAAATCTTATCACTTCCAAACCTGTCAAAAAGATGAAGGAATGGACCTGTACGTATCTGCTACAAATTGTTTATTACATTTTCTTTTTCTTTTTCTGTCTATAATAGAAATTCTAAAAGTCCTCAGAATTTGAGTCCTCCGTTGCTGTCACTTCACAGTGCTATGCCATAATGATGCAATAGAACTTTTAAAATGCTATTTTACCTCCATTTCAGCAATGTGCTGTTTAACAACAGGACAAGCTTGGTGTATGAGAACACACCACATGAAAGAGTTGCTAGCTTATTTGGAGCCTCGTTAATATTTGTGTTTGTATAGGGAAAGCATCCTCACAAGCATCACTTCAGCTTGCTTTTACTGGAATTCACTGCAACTGATAATCATTTTAAAAGTACGGTCAGCCTCGATATTATTCTGTCTTCTGTTTTTTGATGAGAATCCTGTGTTTGTACACCAAAATTCCAATAATGGAGAATGGAATCAGCCAACAAAAGATGGTTATAGCAAACAAAAAAATAAAAATGTTTATGGTACATCTTAAATACTTGTGACATTTTTCTGAGGCTTGCAGCTGTAGTGAACAGTGGCCTTGCTCTGCTACTTTTGAAGTCAATGGGAGTTTGTATTATATCATCTGATTGAAAACAGAATCAGAGCCAGTGTGGAAGGCCTTTTATAACAGCTGTGTAGACTTACGCTTGACTAAATGGAATGGAGGTAAAGACCAAGTGGTCTTAAAATTGTTTTAAAATTAATTCTCAGTTGTAAATTAATCTAGTATTTAATTATCATATAACTTTACAGGATAATAGTTAGTGTTATAAACAAATAGACTGAGCTGATAATGATCTTAAAAGTTGTCTGTGTGTCCTGAATTTTCATAAGCCATAAATTGGTTTGGCTGTAGCAAAGATAAACTCAGTCTTCTATAAATATGTGGACTAAGCCTTTGTTTTGACCTCCTCAATTCCTGATTATGTAATCTTTGAGAAACAATAGAGAAAAAGAAAAAAAGAATAAAAAAAGAAAAACAGTGTATATTTTAAATAAGTAAACAGAACTTAAAAAGCTCAATGACAGTGACTGCAGAAGTCATCCATTAGAGGAGGACAACAAGGTAGCTCAGTTTCAATGAAGCAGCTTTGAGTAATACTCTTTTTTGTCTCGACTTAAGTATAATTGAAAAAAAATGTCAATTAAATTTGGCCAGTGATCTCTTTAATAGCACTCCTGCATGGGCAGCTGAGGTGTAACTCTTTTCTGTCTGCCTACAAGCAGCTCCTTCCTGAGAATACAAGAGCATTGCTCCTGCTGAGAGCAATGAATGATGATTTAAGTGTTCACATCACCCAGGGAACAGGAACTAAAGGCAGCAGCTGCTATAGCTGTTCATGTAGAATCTATTTATTTCTCATTAAAAGTCAATTTGATTGACTATTCTCCAAAGCCATTTTAGATGTTTCTTTTAGAAACTCTCCTAGAGTATGGAGGAAGTCAATGGCTATGGGCTATTTGCACAAAGAACAGCACTCCTGCTTTCATACCTTCAGGTGGCACTGTATAGACTCCTTCTAAATGCTCATCCATGTACAGGTCCAAATAATGACTGTGCCATGCTCTTAGATCTCTGTACATCCTTAGCTGCACAAGAGGATGGTGTCCTGCTTTGTTACTCATCTTTTGTTGCTATGTAGTTGGGCATGTATCCATTATCTGAACGAATGTGTGAAGCTTTGTGTTGGAATAGATCCAAAGAAACCAAAAACTAATTGCACCACCCACAAATACCGTGGCTGTCCATTCATATCAACCTCACGAGAAGTGGGTTCTGAGAGCATGCCAGACCCAGCTATCCAACCTAAGGTATGAGGTTTGGAGAGAGCCTAAAAAGATGCAGATTCTTTCTCTGAGCTCTGGCAGTGCTCCATGCATTCTTGTAATGTAGTACTAGCCAAAGAGCATTAAACTGGATGGATGGATGCATGGATGGCTAATAAATTTGGAAAGAGGCAAATGCTTCCCAGTGTATGTACTGAAAACAGTTACAGCTTTCAGAATTTTAGGTCTGCATTCTTATAAATTGTTCTAAATAATAAGAAACAAATCTGCTTTGACATTACCTGGAGTGTCATTTATTTCAAAGATTGACTTCGCAGAAAATTTTCCAAAGATAATTTTTTATTATCATTGATCTCAGCTTAAATTATGCCACAGGTATTAGTGGCTTCACTGTGAAATAGTGCCTTTAAATAAATATGATGCAAAGGGAGAAGGAGTTCTCAGATATTTTTTTGGTAAAGTTGGCTCATCAAATCACTTCTGCTATGCTGATAGCTCCAAAAGCAGTAATATTACTTTTGTTAATTCAGGAGTAGAGATAAAATGAGTTTCCTCTTTTCCCTTACTATTTTTTCTTCAAAAATAAGAAAAAACATTATGGATGTGTGTTAGATAAGAAAATGTCCAAAGGCTCCATGCCTTGTGAACAGCACCACTCTTATCAAAGCTGCCAATCCTACAGAACTTCAGTTATGGTTTTTTCAGCATAGGAGACCTACAGTCATGGGGAAAGAGCCATACCACTGAATTCTTCTATATCTCCACCTCCTTTTTTCTTTCTTCTAGGCAAAGGCATCCTTAACTACGTGCTCCAATCCTGAAATGGTTGTAGCACACCAAAAATGTATCTTTTGAAGTCTGGGAAGCTGTAATGCACAATGTGCATTGCTGAGCTTTTGGTTATATCCCTCTCTCAGCCTTTTGCATTGTGGTAGAAGAATAACTGAAATTCCATGTCTCTGAGGGTTCTTTTTCCAAGGTAGAGAGAGAGAGACATCTTTTCTGTGTGAAATTTGAGGGGAAGGATGGAGAGAAATGTGGTTTGCTTTGGTTTGGTCAGGATACGTGTCCACGTTCCTGTACCTCCAGAGAATTCCATTAGCAGAGAAGGGCTATTGTTTCTTGAAAATATGCATTTATGTAGGCAAGCAGTAACCTGACATTATATATACACCATTAGAACAGATTTCATCACAAAATGCTCTGAATATCATCATAAGCAGGCAATGTATGTCCTGCTGATGCAACAGAGACAGAATTCATTGGACCAAATGAAGAAAAACTGTGGCTATAAGGTCAGATGATTGATTGCAAGGGAATAGACTGAAAAAAAACCTGCTATTCACAGGAAACAGAGCTCTGAGTCGGGAAACAGTCATTCTTGGACTCAAGCTGCAGCACTTTGAGTCTAATTTCAATCATTATTTCAAGTTATCTGAAGCCTACTGAGTAACTTTAGACTTACGTGAACTTTGAAGCAGCTCACTTTGCTGCCCAGCTTAGTTTTACATCCTATTTGATTTAAATTGTTACCATTCACACCGAGGAAACAATCTGAAAGAGTTCTGTTCAAGCGGTACACGTTTATTACACTTTTGTATCCCCATCCACTGTGCGCCCACTTTGGGGTCAGACATTCTTTGTTGTGTTCCCTTTTGCCGGTGCTGCGTTTCAGCCTCCCCGCAGGGCTGCGTTCAGCCGGGCACTCTCCCGGACGGGCTGCGGGACCCTCCCGCCCCCCACAAGCACCGCGGCCGGCCGCGGCTCGCTGAAGCGTCTGAGCGGGATCCGCCTGCGCCGCGACCCACAGCCGCGGGGTGGGGCCGGGGGAGGGAAGCGGGCCGCCACGCCCTCCTCGCCCCCTCCGCCACGGAGAGGGGCCCGCGCCGATCCGGGACTGACTGCCCTCATCGCGCGGAGGGGCCGGCTGACCGCCTTGGCACCGCCGGGCGCGGCACCACGTCAGCTCGCGTGGGCTGCGGGGCCGGGATGGGCGACCCCAAGTGATGCAGCCCGCCGGCGGCGGGGGCGAGGGGCTTGGGGGGGGGTGTCCCGGTGCGGTGAGGACAGTTCTTCTCGGTCCTTCCTGCGAGCCGTGGGGCGGCCCGTGCGGTTCCCCAGCCCGGAAAGCAGAACCAGACGTGGCGAGATCCCCTCGGCTGAATGCCGGGCGCGCAGGGGGCTGCGGGGTGCCTTCCCTCCTCCGACACCGTGGGGCTCCCGGCCCGTAGGCAGTGTGCGCTGGGGAAGGGGCGGCACCCGAGGCTGCCTCGTGCCGCACGCTGCGAGGTCGGGAGGGGGAACGCGCGGCTCCGTGCCCGCAGGGACCTCCGTGAGGAGGGCGAACGGCCGGGACGGGCTGAGCTGCGGCACCGCGTCCGCCGTAGGGAGCGCGCGGCGCTGCGCTCGGTAGGGCGGTACGAGGGCTCGGGCAGGGGGTGCAGCCCTTCCCCGGCCGCGGCCCCAGGCCCTGGACAGCTCCCGCTCCGACAGCCCTCGGAGCGCGCTCCCGGCGCTGCCCGCCGCCCGGCGAGGCCAACAAAGCAGGGCGAGGGGCGGGGAACGTCTGAAAAAAAAAAGAAAAAAAATCAGACGGCGAGTCAGATTTTCCTCCCGAAAGCCTCAAAGTGTCCACGTCCTCAAAGCATGGAACCAATTTAGCGCCGCCGCCTTCCTCTTCCCTCCCTCCCTCGCCCACCCCCCCTCCGACCCCGCAGCCGAGCAGCGCCGGGCTGGGGCCGGTGAGCACGTGACAGCGCTGGGAGCCGCGCGGGCCCCGCGGTCGCCGCGCGCCCATTGGCTGCAGCGCCGCCGGTGCCTCGCAGCCGCGGGACCCTCCTGCGGTATAAATAGGGCGGAGCGGGGCTTGATTAATTTAGCATCCCGGGCAGCAGGTTTCTGCTAAGTTTGGAGTTACTCCTCGCGACTGTATGCCTGCGTCCTGCAGGTAATAGCCAACCACGTCCGGGGGCTCTGCAACACAAGGAGTCTGCATGTCTAGCAAGTAGACATGCTCAGCTTTGTGGATACGCGGATTTTGTTGCTGCTCGCAGTAACTTCATACCTAGCAACAAGCCAACGTAAGTGCTTTCCGCTTGTTCGCGGCATGGGTGGCGGCAGGGGGTGGCTGTCCCGCTCTGCGCGCTCCGGAGACCCTCTCTAAAGCTGCCACCTCCGTCTCAGAGCGGCGCCTCTAGTTCAGAACTACCAACGGATGGCAAAAGGCCAGCGAGATAACATTTCCCCTCCAAAAAAAAAAAAAAAAAAGAAAAAAGTAAGAAACAGAAGATGCGCTCGCATTCCAAGGAGCACGCAGAGCCCTCTTTCAGGTGCAGAGGCATAAAGTCCAGGAGCAGAGTGCCGGCCAGCAGCGCCCCGATGCACCCGCTCTCCGCGCTCCTCGGACCGGGCGCGGCTCTCCCCGTCCCTCCGCCGCTTTGTGCCGCGCCGTCGCGCACTATGGCGCCGCCTGCCGGCCGAGCGCGGAGCGGCCGCGGAGCCCGTTCCCGACGACGGGGCCCCTCGCTGTCCTCTGGGGTCTCCTGAGAGGGGAGGGCGTTACGAGGCAGGAAGGGAGCGGACGAGCGGGGATATCAGCTCTAGTGGGAGATTTTAAAGGGTTCCACTCCCTGGCATGAGGATTTGGTCCTCCCGCGCTTTGCTGTGGGAGAACTGCAGTCCCTCCGCACGCACAGTGATAGGAGAGAGTCTCCCCCCACACTCGTGCCCGGGGAAAAAGCGCACCTCTTCCCCCGCTTTTCGCCGTGCAGCACTCGGGGAAGCGCTGCCCCAGCCGCCCCGCTTCGAAGAAACTGCTTTGGGGGCAGGAAGGGGGCTGGCTGCGTTACCCGACACGGCCCCGACCGAGCTGCCCGAGAGCTGCGGCGAGATCGTGCCCGGCGGGGGGGCGCGGTTGAGGCCCAGCGGGCTGCGGGCCGCCCCCGGCCCCTCGCCCCCCTCCTGGTGACGGGCGGCGGTCGGAGCGCCTCAGCCGGAGCGATTTGGGCGGCTGAGGGGGCTCGGCTGGGAGTCCCAGCGTACTGCCTGTGCCTCCATCACCTGAAAGCAGCCACTTTTTGCTATAGGCAGTCTGTAATCCACCGTACGTTTTTTAGTATTGTTCTGAGCTCAGTACTGCCTTCTTTTGCTGCATGAGCAGTTTATATTTACTGTAATAATTCATTGCTCAAGTGACACCTTATGGGGGGAGGAATGCCCAAAAAGCAGTGAGTAACGTGTCAGATTACTGGCACTGAACTGTGGTGCGAAGCATTTCTAAGTTTCAGTCGAAATAGGTAATTTGCTGCTTGAAATTTGGAAAACAAACTTCAAAAATCGTTTCTTCCAAGTAATTAGCAAAAGCATTCTTTGTAGTAAGTAGCATGCGAAGAAAGTTGCCTTCCATTTGGTGGGTGACAGCTTCGGGTAGTTCTCTGCTTTACGGGGAATACCGGAGATAGACGTTCTTTAACATTCTCCATAAGAAGGGCTGCTTATATTAAAATTTAAAGTTATCCCTTCCAATTAATATCTTCACGTATGTCATGTCTGGGTTTATTCAGCTGTTGCATGCACGTGTGAAAATATATATGTGGCTGTTTTGGGGTTGGTTGTTGTTGTTTTGTTTTGTTTTGAGATACGTATTTTTAAGCACATTTAAAGGAGGATTATAGAAAATATAATTTCATGTAAAGATCTGTTTTGATTTGGGGAAATATAACCGTCATGGCTGTGCGTTCACACAGTTTGAGATAATGGCATTAAGAGAAACAAATTGCATTAAGAAACTTGACAAAAGTCACATTTTTATTCAAAAGCATTGAAGTGTAAACCTTTTAAAAGAACGGAATCCACATTCTAATTATCTCTTTTCTTTTTTCTTTCCCTTCCTTCTGCAGATGTGAGTGAGGTCAGTATGATTCATTTTTTAATCTAATCTCTAATGTTCAACTTCCGTTAAGAAGCCAGACTACCTCATCAGGGCAGTATTACGTAGTAACTTAGTTCCCAAGGTGGCCCTGGGAAGATACCAGTCCTGAAGGGATTGCCTGGAAATGTACCCACCCCAATTTCTGCAGTGGGCTGGCCTTTCTGAGGGACTGCCTTCATAGGTGTAAAGACCATGAGGAGAAATAACAGAGCATTGGTGTTCGGGCATCATACCTGGCAGTTTGGGGTAGAGAAGGCCAGTCTTCCAGGCTAAATTTCATTGCACGGAAGGATTATGAGAGAACTCAGGTGTGATTTTCATTTATATTATATTTGTAGTCTATAAGAAGTATAAAATTGCCATCCTTCAATAGAAGTTTCTAACATAGGTACATTTATCTTCACTATATAATAAACTCTTAACCTTGCTAGTAATTTAAAAAGCATAGGGTATACTTAAATATAGGGTACTGACAGAAATTGTAGGGTTGGAAGGAGGTGAATTTAAGATTGTACACTATTTTATTTCTTTAAAAAAGGGATAATTTGTACTTTTTTTTTCTAATTCTCTGCCTTGTCTCTTCCAGGCATCTGCGGGGCGGAAGGTAAGCAGCTTCATTTTTTCTTGTGTGGAGATGTAGATGACATCAAATATTCCTGAGCAGAGTAATATTTTGTGGAATGTTGGATGACAAAACTGGCTAAAGTCATTATTTCCCAGTGCTCACTGATATGAGCGAGAAGTAAAAAGGAGAGAACAGTGGATGCAGTAACTCAGCAAAATGATAAATGCAAGTTTTGGATTTAAGCTGCTTTATCCAAGAGCAGAACTAAGCATACTGAGAACCCAACTGCATCAAGAAAGGATTCTTGTTCAACAAGAGTTCTTTTGGAAGGGTTTCATGAATTGAACAGTACAGCAGTATCCATACAGATCTGAAAGGCTAAGTAGATAACCATTTTATTTTGAAAAGTCTCTGTTGTTAAATAATAGACAGTTATTCAGTAGAGAAAAAAACAAACTGTGCCTGTACTTCTGTGCAATGATACTTTAAGTGATGTAGTGATGATAGTAACTAATCTGTTTCTAGTAGCATATTGAGGTCAAAGATATACTGTAGAAAATAAGGTAGGACCTATCTGTGCAGTCATCTTTCCCTATTTTCATATACACCAATGTTTCTTATGTGTCTCTTTCCCTGCATCGTCCTGGAAAATTTCCACGGTAACTGATTAAGTTCTGTTTTCTTCCAACAGGGCCCTAGAGGAGACAAAGGACCACAGGGAGAAAGGGTAAGGAAGTAGACTGACATTCATTTATTTGTGGTCTTTGGAAGATTATTGGAAGATCAATAGGAAAAAGCTAAGTTTAGCTATTAATGAGTTTAATGTTACTTTAGAAGTTTGCAAGTTCAGTTTCATTAAAAAGAAATCAAACTACCTATGTACCAATGCTAATCCTGGCAATACCTCATCAGCCTTACTGTGGTTATTGTACCTGATCAGATGTGATTCAGTTTGGAGAGCAGCCTAGCATTCCAAGAAATGGTTTGAAAAGCTTTTTTCCAACTGCACGCAGTGGAAATAGCGCATGAAAATGCAGAAGAGAAAGTTGTCACATACAGATGTGGTCTTTGAACAGGATAGTATAAAGAGAAGCTCTTTACATAAAACCCAAATAGACAAAGATCATTCTTTGAGGACCATTCAATACCTGTATCTGCAGAGGTAGCTTGGAAAAGCTCTATGAATGAAAGCAGATGTTATACTGTTGAAGATTTTTGTAAATGTAGCCATAGATGAAAGTGGTTGGATACTTTAATTGTGATGTCCATTCATATTTCTAATACCTGCTTTTCTAATTTGCTTCTGCATCACTGCTACTTTTTGTGAAGTTGTATTCTGAAATTCATGTCCTTATCTGAGTAATGTGTGGTTATGTATTTTTTGGTATTGTCTTCTGAAAATGAAAATGCCTGTTACTGATAGGAAGCTACTGAAAGCTTCTTAGGTCTTAGTATGCTGACAAACACAATGAGAACTACTAGGAAGAGTAGATCTATGTGGTCAGCTGGATATTTGCTTTGGACTACCACTGATTAAAACCGTTTAATGAGATGAGATACATACTTTGTTCTGAAGACTGCAAGCCTAATTCTGTTCCTTTTGAAATCTGTAAGATTTTAAATATGTATTTTAGCTTGATCACGTCAGATGTTTCATCTCAAATACTGTGATAGCAAACCTTGACCAGCTTTGTGCATTGAGAGTGGTAGAGTGTAAAGGCAAATATTCAGGACCAAATATATGTCATTTCAAGTTGCTGTAGGAGTGGTTATGACAGTGATGGCAGACTGGTATTATCAAATCCAGTAGAAAAGCAGTATTTTGTTGTGGTCGGATTTGCAATTTTAGCATCGAGTGATCTGAACTGGCATTTGACTCGTTCCAGATCTTTGTTAGTTCATGCTTTTAGGGCTGACCTGCTAGTGCTCAGTTTGTCAGGGAAACTAACAGTGTCTGACAGGCTGTGTGGGTCCACATGGGTAACCTGGTCTTCATGGCTCCAGGCTTTTTTTGCCTCTCAGTGTGGAGGTTATTCGTACAGATCCAATATTACCCTTACAAATCTTCTGAAAAATGGTACTATAGTGTATATCTGAAATGAGGAGCGGCAAGGCAGTGTAAACTCAGGATATGCTTATTTTCTGACGTTAGTCATATATTGAGATTATGCATATAGCAGTGCTACAGTATGTGCCGTAGGTACCTGGTTGTCTTATCACTGCAGAGGCTTCATTAGTTACTTCTAATGTTCACTTTATAATCCTCATTTTGTCTCTAGGGTCCACCAGGTCCACCAGGCAGAGATGGTGAAGATGGTCCACCAGGTCCTCCAGGCCCCCCTGGTCCTCCAGGTCTTGGCGGAGTAAGACATCCAAATTTTTTATTACTGAAATTGATAATCTTTGCTTTGTGACAACTAAAGACTAAATGAATATTTACTGGGAAACATTGACATCGAACAGGAGAGTAGAGGAAGCAATCTTGTGTGATTAGCATGAGATTAGTGGTCTGAGTTCCAGTGCAACTCTTAGGATCTATATCTTCCTTGGCAGCTTTGGATTCTATATTCAACAGAGACTTATGCATAGAAGCAAATCAATCTTGTTCATCAGCATTAAATTTGTGCCACCATAATGTGTTATGAGTTAGGAGTCAACTCAGTAAAGCCTGTGCTGTTACATGGATGGGCTGTTGTGTTCAAGAGAAAACAACTGTAAAGGAATAAGCTGGAGAAAAGTACCCTTAAACTAAAAGTTCATACTTAGAAGTCAGCACCTCTCTTCCTTTAGAATTTTTTGTATCTATCTGTATTAATACTGCAGAACATTAAGTGGGCAGGTGTATATACACCTTCTGCAAAAGTGTCTATCGTGTATGCTCTGAATAATGCTGGCTTTAACTCTTTGCTTGACATTAGGCAGAGAGCATGAAGACAGTGGTTCTTCTTGAGTGTTATAAATCCTCCTGCATGGAGGAGCTAAAGTTTATTTTTGTATTAGCAGACCCCAACTGTTTTTATTAGTTTTTCTTGTTTTAATATGCTAATAAAACAAGCAAGAAAAGGATTTTCAATTGTGTTGCATGTAACTCTTTCATTTCAGTGAAGAAGGCTAGATGTGTGTTTGTCTATAAGGCTTTCACTGATTAAAAGGTGAAAAATCCAGTGCAGTGTTTCTAAGCCTGCATGCTCTAGAGATCTTACTGAAGCTGATGGGCCCACTTCATCCAACGATCTGTCAGGGCTGAGCTATAAATTTTACTCAAATAATGTGGAAAAAAATACACAACTTTTGTCATTGGAAATTATACAGAATTATTTAAGAGATTCAAAAGTATTTTCAATTTTTGAATGGGAATTGTGCCTACATACTGTACTTTCAGTTCGCACTATTTCAGGATCTATATGTCACTACTCGGTAGATAGTTGAGGCCAGTGTGTGAAAGGGCCTTCCTACTGAAATCAAGTCTTTCTGGAAACAGGTGAATAGAAATGTATTTGTAATAGGATCGTATTTACTGAGTTTTAAGTTTGTTGCTTCAACATATTGTCTAGCAAATGAGATAGTGGATACATGTAGAATAAGAGTTATCAATGCTTTCTAAAGAAAGAATTGTAGTGATTTTTATTTCAAATTTTTGTTATCTACAGAATTTTGCTGCTCAATATGATCCATCTAAAGCGGCTGACTTTGGCCCTGGACCTATGGCAAGTATATGATTTAACACTTGGTAACTTGCATAAACATGTATTTAAGTCTACTCCAACTGTGTTAACTCAAAGCATAGTTTTGAAATTAGCACTACGTATGTAGTCAGGTTGTAAACTTATCCCTCAATAGAGCACATCATGAAGTGTCTGGTAATGGTCTTAGGACTGTGTCCTCAACTTGAATGTAGCACTACTATTTTCACTTTATGAATCAGTGAATATCAATCTGATGTCAGATAACGCATCTGCTGTGATACAGTGTACTTCATCTGTGCTGAGACAGGAGAATTCTGTTTTAGGAATTAGATTAATTGTGGAGAACTGACTACAGGAGACATTTCTCTAGAAATTAACTCAATATCTCAGATCCAGTTGGTGACCATTTTTTTCTCTCAGAGGCAGAGAGACAGGAACAGGGGAGGTTTAGGTTAGATATTAGGAGGAAGTTTTTCACTCAGAGGGTGATGACACACTGGAACAGGTTGCCCAAGGAGGTTGTGGATGCCCCATCCGTGGAGGCGTTCAAGGCCAGGCTGGATGTGGCTCTGGGCAGCCTGGTCTGGTGGTTGGTGACCCTGCCCACAGCAGGAGGGTGGAAACTAAATGATCTTTGAGGTTCTTTTCAACCCAGGCCATTCTATGTTTCTGTCATGAGTCTATGATGATTCTATGATTCTGAGCAATTGAAAGCTAGCACTTGCTATCTAGAATCTATGATTCTATGGTTCTATGACTTGCTACTACAAGGCTATTCTGAGGAGGAATCTTTGCCAATTACTGTATATGATGTTGACATCTAAAGTGTCTACTATCTGCCTACGCAGATTTCTAACCCTTGCTGATGTTAGCAAGAATTTTTCAGTGCATGTAGATAGCAAAGCTGTGGGTTAAGTTCACCTATTTCAATAACATTACAGACAGTGAGTCTGATGGGTGGGTGAATAGCATGATGAAAGCTGCCCAGGACTATTTTCGGTCAAGTACTTATTACTATTCCCTAAAATATTATAATTGTTGAAAGTATGCTGACATGCATTTAGATAATAACTATAGGAATACAGGATAATTTTTAATCAAGCTTGGCTTTTGATGTCTGACAGTAATATACATGACTATTTGGGGTGTAACAACTCTAAGCTCTAATTTTTTACTCAGTCAGGGTTCATCAACAGAAAAAGCAGTAAATTCTACCTTCTTGAGGAATTTTTAACTTCCTGAAATCAAGTGACAGGAAAATGTGAGAGAGGGAAAGCAGAAAAGAAGAGAAAGCAATTATGGAGTGTAGCCTGTGAACAGATTCAAAGGGCTTATGCAGCATAGATGATTCAAACTGTTCAGAAACATGTTTGAATTAGTTTCTGGACTAGAATTAGTGTATACTACTATAGCTATAGCCTTTTACTGCATTAGCTTTCCAAAATGATGTGCGAGCCTCCCAGTTCCTAGTAACACTGACATTTATGCACATTTCTTTTCCTTTTTTTCCTCTCTCCCTTTTTAATTATCCTTTCTTTCAGTATCTCTTCTTGAAAGTTATGATGAAATTGTCAGGCCCCCAAATACAGCCTTTCATAATATGTCATTATGACCTTTAAAGCCTGGAAGCTTATTCCCAAGAAAGCAATGAGTATACAGTAATGAGCCAGTGTGTGAAAGCATTTGTTAATGAGTTACAATAGAATGAGATACCTGAGCACAAGGTTCTCAGCCATAATGGCACATTCTTAATCATCTTACAGGATTCACTGGCATCAGATCTATTTGTATGTGGACTGCCTTTGCAAATTCATGCAGATCTTTTAACTTCCTCAGATTTGATTTGAACATTGCACACTGAAAATTACTATTTTTACCAGAATTCTAGGAACATCAGGAACAGATATTATAGATGAGTTTATGTAGTAGTGTTTGATTGGTTTTCTTTTTAATTATTTATCTTTCCTCCCTAGGGTTTAATGGGACCTAGAGGCCCACCTGGAGCATCTGGACCTCCTGTAAGTACAGTCAACATTAATCAGTATAAGGATTTTTTTTATGCCTAACAAACTATTTTGTGATTTGATCAAACACTAACAAAAATCTCCCTTCCTGTCTAGGGTCCTCCCGGGTTTCAAGGTGTTCCTGGTGAGCCTGGTGAACCTGGTCAAACAGTAAGCACAGATTTCACATACAGACACTATTAGCATTAGAAATAAAATGCAAAGATAGGCTTGTGATGCTTAGGCCTGCTACTCCTATCCATTTCCTTGCTCTTGAAGGTTTGAATTGGATATTCCTGTTACAGAAACAGAGATGAACATTCATATTCACTCCTTCAGATTTGAAACTCAAAGTGCAAAGGCAGTGTCTAAGGACCTTGAGTTGGTTCAGTCTCTTGCTATGTCTATGCTAAAGTCAGAAACCAGGGAAGAAACTCACCTTGCTTGACATAATACTCAATCTATTTTCAACAGGGTCCCCAAGGTCCTCGTGGTCCCCCTGGTCCTCCAGGAAAGGCTGGTGAAGATGTAAGTCATTAAGTTTTTCATCTCTTTTAGGGCTGTGATTCAATTCTAGCATTAAGTTTTTATGCTAAGCATTCTATTGGCTCTCACTTTTACATTGTTCTGTAATATTTGATAGAATAAATAAGCCCCTGAAATAATTGCTTATTAGTACAGAAAATGCTGTCTGTTAGAAAAATGGATAAATTTAAAATCTCTCCAAATACATTGTTTGGTTTCCTGAACACAGGGAAAGAGAAGCTCCCAGGTTCTCTGCTTATTGAAAGAAATCTTTCCTAATGTATTTTCTTTTTCCTTTTTCTTAAAGCTTTGTTATTCTTTTATGAAATGAACTTTCCCTCTCAGTGTATTTTTACTGAACTTTTTAGGGTCACCCTGGCAAACCTGGAAGACCTGGTGAGAGAGGTGTTGCTGGTCCTCAAGTAAGTAGTGATCTACTGTCTATTACATGAAATAGTACTCATATCAATTAAACCTCTAATGGTATTTCTGAATTGCTCTCCATAAACAATCCATTAATATTCTTTCCATGGATTAATCTCAGCGTCTGTTTCATTTCTTACTTTCGAGGATATTGTATAGTTATGTTTTTGTTTTGTTCCCTGCCCCCTCACCCCTCTTCACTAGTAACAGAGGTAAAATAGAATGCTAACATAGCTGTGATGTCACAGGTTAATTAATAAGATTTCTGGGATTCAGACCTGGGAAATCAAGTTGATTATTGTTAGTGCTGAACAAGTCTGATTCTGGGAGGTTTGGGATGGGACTGTTTCTTGTTTGAGTGAGCGAGACCCCATCTACTCACTAACATTAATGAAGGACACATAGTTTTTCTTTATTCTTTAACTATATAACATGAGAGACAATCATTCATGCTCTGCGTGTTTTTAGGGTGCTCGTGGTTTCCCTGGAACTCCTGGTCTGCCTGGCTTTAAGGGAATTAGGGTGAGTATATGTGTACTTCTTCCCTGAATAGTTAACTGACAGCACTTCAAGATACTAGCATTAGGTGGGATGGTTGGTGGCCCTGCGTGTGGCAGGGGGGTTGGAGATTCATGATCCTTGAGGTCCCTTCCAACCCTGGCAATTCTGTGATTCTGTGATACTGAAAACCCCTGAAAGTGAAAAGTATATATTCTAAATGCATTAGTATCTTTGAAGTTTTGAATATTTCCTGTCAAAAGAGAATGCACAGTTTGTGTATAGCATTTAGTCAGAAAGTATATACTTAACATTTAATTTTCTACTCAATATAGGGACACAATGGTCTGGATGGTCAAAAGGGACAACCTGGTACTCCTGGCACCAAGGTAAAGATGAAATCTGAAAATGCAGGATGCATTTGTAGCTCTTTCTAGAGAAATATGTATGAAATCTTCTCCAATTGATCTTCAATGTTGTCACTGAATATTGTCCAGCTGCAATTATCAGGAAGTCAGCAGATCACGTAGGACAAATAGATACAACTCAAGATGAGAAATCATGTTAGGGCCTTATTACTTGACTGAGGACTCAAGAAACTCTGTTAATGAGTAAGAGCAGCAGAACTGGGTTCCTAATAATTGCCTTTATATGGACTGTAGTTGGACTTAGCTGTTTTCTCTAAAGCACATTAAAATGAGAATCTAATTTGTCTAGAAAGCTCTGCTGTGTGAGACATGCTTTAGTGTAAGGCTTTCTGCTAAAACTTTGTATAAATGCTGTGCTCTCCTGAGTTAAGGCTACTCAATCTTCAGACTTCTTCCTTCTTGTCTTCTTCAGCTTAGTACCCATTAGAACACCTTGCTTAAGAAAGCTTTCCTTAAACTTGGTCAAGGAACATTTAGCAAGCTCTTCCTCTCAATTTCTTCATCACTCCCACTTCTGTGCCTACTAGCAATGTTCTTAAAAACACTACTGCTTTTTTGGGTTGTAGGAAATTTTAATGTTGGTGATTCATTCACAGTAGATCTGCCTCCAAAAACTTTTAATGTTACAATGTAAGGGTCAAATTCTAATCCTCATTACTGCTTGTTTACAGGAGCTTAGCACTACTTGCTTATAGTTATTAACTGTACTATGGTATTTTCCATCACTGCAACTTGTTAAGCTCCAGAAAGTTTGGTAACGAGATAGATACCATGCACTCTATCCAATCTTTGGAGACTAAAAGCAGATGAAGTAAATAAGTAAATGAAAGAGCTGTTATTAGGAATGCTAATTTGACTGAAAACAAAAGTATGATGTTGTGATTTAATTGTGATTAAGGCAAAAACTTCTACAGATTCCAGCATTTAAGGCTCAGTGCATTCAAGTATGCTCAGGATTCTGATACTCTGGAACAAACTTTGTCACTTTAAGCCAGTCTAGGCAAACTGTGAGCTTACTAAGAACTCCCAATATTGAGGGAGATAAGTAATGTTTTAGTGGTTTCATTCATACCAATATGATTGGTCATAAGAATTTGACTCAGATATTTCTGTCTTATTTTTAGACAGCACAGATTAGGAATTATGTTACCTTAACCTAAGGCAAAAGAAAGTATTTTCTTTCTCTAGCTAAAAAAGTTGCAGATTGATCAGAATTGGTAGTTGACTGTTATCTAGCCCTATCTCTTAGGTGTGTGCTACAGTGCAGATATAACAGCATGAAGAAAGGGAGTAAAGACAGCTGAGACTGGCAAGTGAACCAATTTGCTCTAAGCCTTCCCTTTTAGGAGGATTTCAGCTGGCTTTGCTCCAGTATATAATGGGACAGTCACAGCCTCTACACCATTAGGAGCCCATTTGCTGTTATTCTGTACAGTGGTGTGAGTGCTACAGCAGTCAAGAACAGTAGGATATAGCAACTGAATATTTCCTCTTTAGCTGGCTTTGTGCTGTCAGATTAGGAATCCTTTGAATAACTTAAGCATGTTAATTTTTTCTTTCATAGGGAGAACCTGGTGCCCCTGGTGAAAATGGTACCCCGGGACAACCTGTAAGTGTCTAGTGCTGCTTTGGAAAATCTGTCAGGTGTGGCTCAGCCAGCATTTTGGCTCATTATTTTCATCAGTGGCAGTCCAGCTGGCTAGATGCTCTAATGTAATAATACATTAATATTTGGAACAGAATTGTTTGGTTGCAATCCACTTTGCATAGAGACTTAGCAAGTGGAAGAAAATCTGTGTATCTTTGTTTAGTAGACAGATCTAAATGAGCTAATTTTTCTTTCAGGGTGCTCGTGGTCTCCCTGGTGAGAGAGGAAGAATAGGCGCCCCTGGACCAGCTGTAAGTGGCTTTCCATCTGTCTATTGGTACTAATGATCAGCCACTTACTGTGGCTTTCTCTGATCGTTGGCTCTTGCCTGTCTTTACACACTATGTTCTCTGTTTACAGGGAGCTCGTGGGAGTGATGGCAGTGCTGGCCCCACTGGACCTGCCGTAAGTTTCAGTCTTGATCTTTAACAACTTAGCTCCATTAGGCCTTATGCCCATCTTTCCAATTACAGAGAACTTTTCAGGCCTCAAAGAAGTTGATTGGGTATTTTAAACACAAGTTTTTGTTGCTTAATAGGTTGCCACAAAAAGCATTAAAAAACTGTAAGTTCTTTGCAGACAATGTGCTGTGATCCTTGGGATTTATTTTAAACCCATCTATATCTGTAGGACAAAATATTCTCTCATTTACACTGATGAATTCATAGTAAAAGAGCTGGTGAACAAAATCCTTATTTGCACCAGTCTAACAGGAGAATTCTCATCCCAAAATTAAAGATTATACCTTTCAACAGGTAGCTTTAATGCATATGTTGCAAATGACTAATATTACATATGTTCTAAAAGTATTACATTAATTCTATGACACAAGTTTGCACCTGCAGTACAGATTTACCCTTTTTAAAGGAGTTAGTGTTGCTGTTGCACACCACTGACTTTACTAAATTTCATTTATTTCAGTGGCATAAATGTGTGTACATAGTTTCAAAGCTGTAAAAAAAAAAAAAACAAAAAAAAACCAACAACAAAAAAAAAACAACTTAAAAACAACAACAACAACAAAAACCCACAGAAATAAAACAGAATAGCTTTTCCTTCCAGCCTTCAAAATGTAATCAGTGATGTAGCCATATGTGATCCTCTCAACTTTACCAAAAGTTGATTATAATGCTCCTCATCACAGCAAACGTCTGCCATCCTTCAGCAGAATAGGAACATTAGCAGAATTATGAATTTCACTCCTCCAGTCCTCCTACATAGGGCGTTCTAAAATATACATTATTGAGCATTTAAAATGCAGTCACATAAATACCTTAGCCAAGATCTGATGTTATACTCTGTTGAAGATCCAAACTGCTTTAGCTATGTTGAAGGTAAATGAAGTACCCTAGGAAAAATATTCTGATGCTGCTCTGACTGGACAGCAATAGAAACTTGGATTGGGTTTTGGTGTCCATACCAGTAAAGTTATTTTGCACATGCTTATGTCTTCACGTTGCAAGCATTCTGTAAAGGACTTTTTTTTCTTTTAAGCAAGAACAAAAATATTGTTATTCTCCTTTGCCTCTGGGAATTTAAAATGTAAAAAGAGTCACCATAATGGAAATTTAGAACAGTTATATTTTCATAGGTATTTTACAGAGCTTTTAATCTTTTTTCTTTTGCTTCTGCAAAACCAGTGTGAATGCCACGTACCCAGTTATCAAATGCCAGAAGCCAATTCCTCTTCACTTTGTAGGCTGACCTATTTTATTCCCTTGGATCTATATAGCAGTTCTACAATAGATATTAGCTCACAAAAGCAGATATCAATCCCCAGTAGCTATGAATGAATTTCATGTTTTATTAAAAATCAAAGAAAAACTATCCATTTGTAGAACTATGCATTAAAGGCTAACAGGCTACAAATCCATTAATGTCTTTTCTCTGTTGGTATCTGAGTACTGTACGCTAAGAAGCTTGTCCTATCATAAACATAAATATCATAGCAATCACTAGGGTGCAGCACTCCTCCTCATTCGTTTTGGGACAGTACTGCAAGGCATCTTGTCTTACAGATACCTGTCTGTCTAAGATACCTATCCTCTGTTTATTCTTCCTCAGGTGTTTGGCTTCATTGCTTAATTCATGTTTTTTTCAGATACACTGCAAGTGCTTTTTCTGCACTGATCTTAATCTCAACTGTTTGTAATGGACCAAACCTGTCAGTTTAGAGTTGCAAAAGGCAAATAATATTTCAATGTGCAGAAATGTCTAAGTAAATGTGCTTTTTTTTCTAAAATTTGTTTATTTCAGCAAAATTCTTGTTGTCATTGAAAGCTTTTGCTCAAATGCTTCCCTTTGGTTTCATAGGGCCCCATTGGTGCTGCTGGTCCTCCAGGCTTCCCAGGTGCTCCTGGTGCTAAGGTATGAATGTCTGTTTCTGCAGCTACATTTGACAGTGAATACAAGATGTGGTAACAAGTATTGTTAGGCAGCAGAAATCACCTGAAATGGTAATATTATCTTGTCAGTTACAGGTCAGAGTGAGGAATTTGGAGGAATATTTATATGAATGTTGATATAGTTATTAGTCATTCCACAGCTGATAAACACACATTGAAGATTTCACATGTTATTTAAAACCATATTGTATAACTGGAAGAAGTAACCTGCTTTGGGATACAGGGAATGATCTATTCCAGAAATTGGCTGTATTGTCTTCTATTTTGGATGTAGACCTTCATCTGTCACGCATATAGAAAAGATCAGGAGGCCAACATAGCCAGCAAATCATGTCTGGAAGCTATAGCTATGACTGAGTTAGGAGGGAGCTGATTCAAATAATAGATGCAAGGCAGGTGTAACCTAATTTTTCACCGCTCTTGCATGGTGTGGTTGTATACACCTTTGAAAGGTGATGTAGACCATGACAAATAAATGAAGTAGCAGTTTACATCACTTCTCATAAGAAGAGGAGGGTAAAGAAGCTTTAGTTGTGTATCAGGCTCCTTCCAACCTGAGTTCTTGAAATTGATGGAGAAATTAAATGCAGTGATGAAACTGCATTTCAGCTTTTCACCTTTTGGGCAATATCATTTTCTTCTTGTCTGAGTCTTGTCTGATCTTGCATGATTCAGTTCTATAATAGATTTGGTGAATGCAAGTTTCTGAGATTGGTATCAAGAATCTTCTTCCCTGTCATTCTCACCACTATGAGAACTAGACTGCAGTTCTCTGACCAGGCACGCTTTGCATCCATGCAAACAACAGCTTATGTACAAGATAACTGTCAATTAGGTCTCCTACACAGTGAGACATCTTATGCCACTGCTGGAGACTCGTGGTTGTAGAGAAGACTGGAATCTTAATTCTAATTTTGTAGGTTAGCCTTCTGTAATAATGCAGATGTGCTGATCATCTGTTGTTCCATGTTGTACATCAGTTTTGATGGGATCTACCTATTTTTACCAGCTTCAGTGCCTTTAAATTCCAGTAAAGGCTCTCAGCCTCTTGTTTCCCTAGACTGAAACAGGAACCTATATTGGATTGTCTTATGTCAGGCTAATGAAATTACTCTGCAATTGCCTTAACACTCTGGATACTGATACAGAGCTTTATCCTTTTCTCAAACAGGGTGAAATTGGACCTGCTGGTAATGTTGGCCCTACTGGTCCTGCTGGTCCAAGAGGAGAGATAGGACTTCCTGGTTCCAGTGGTCCTGTTGGCCCTCCTGTGAGTATCTTGCCAGTCTTTATCTATTGTCAGATGGATGCATTTGAGACTTTGAATTAACCAGTATAATTTTTTTCTTCCTCAACAGGGCAACCCTGGTGCTAATGGTCTTCCTGGGGCTAAAGGTGCAGCTGTAAGTATAGCCATGTGCACATTTGCTTTAAGAAAAAAAAAAAAAACAAAAAGCACCACATTTCAGTTAATGCATCAGAAAAGATAATGAATTTACAATAAGTTTTCTCTGTGTTGAACAGGGTCTTCCTGGTGTTGCTGGTGCTCCTGGTCTGCCTGGTCCCCGTGGTATTCCTGGTCCTCCTGGCCCTGCTGGTCCAAGTGGTGCTAGGGGACTTGTTGTAAGTGACTGTCTACTGCATGTATCCAGTTTTCAAATGAAGACAGCATCCATCATTGTAAAATACTTTTTCCAGATATGTTTCTACATTTAATGCAGACACTTCTGTTGCTTCAGTATAATTAAGCATCGTAGCTTGTTTCTGTCTCTCACTGAGACTGAAGAGATTCTCTTTGTACTCACTTTGGCTGCAATAACTGTTAAGCTCTGACCTTCTTGATGATATCAACAGAGATGTGATAGCAGTCTCACAATCAGACCCTCAAGGGGTATCCTCAGTACAGGAACCAGCCCAAAGTGTTTCTTAGTTCAATTAATATAATTTCTAAACATCTTCAACGTGTCTGTTTTCATGCCCATTAAGCCTAAAGTACAGTTATATTAACTGACTGTGTCAGAGTAGAGTCAGGCATGACACTGGATAATTAAAGATATTTTTGATTCATGAAAATGTTGTACAGGTAAGATTTCTAGAAAGAATTTTAGAATGGTGCTTAATCCTAGGATCTCTTTTTATGTTGGACTCTAGGGTGAACCAGGCCCTGCTGGTGCCAAGGGAGAAAGTGGTAACAAGGGTGAGCCTGTAAGTATGGCAATTTGTGAGTGTTGTTTCAATGAATAAAGTCTCATAGTACCTATAGCTCAGCATCTGATTTATTCTTTTCCTCTTTTGGCTGAAATAGGGTGCTGCTGGCCCCCCTGGCCCTCCTGGTCCAAGTGGTGAGGAAGGCAAGAGAGGCAGCAATGGTGAACCTGGCTCTGCTGGTCCCCCTGGCCCTGCTGGTCTAAGAGTAAGTTTTCTTTTCATGTTCCAGAAGTAAAAGCAAAAAAGAAAAGAAATAAAGCTATATTCGCAAAGGGAAATTGAATAATTATAAATCACTAAATTTGTGTTAATACAACTAGACAAAGGTTTGCTGTTCTGAGCCTTTTGATTTGTTGGGACCAACCCTATTTTTGCTTTGCACTAAAGCTGTTTATTATCTTATCCCTGAATTAATTATAGTTTTCTTTGTGTTATCCATTGATTAATATTTAGAGAATTAACACTGATTTAGCTATAAAGCTTCATGATGAGATATAAGTGCTTGAAAGAAATAGTTGCAAGAGCCCATAGTTAGCTCACATGTAATGTGAGAGAGGTTTAAATTCAGTGTCTTCAAGGGTGTCTGTAGTATGCTTATCACTGGGCCAGGAAACAACACAATGGCTTTCAAGAGTCATGTAGCTTTGTGCAGGTGCAGGAGTAGGAATTCACTGGAAAAGGCTAAGAAAAAAGGCAGTGCTTTCATCAATTTTTTTTATGACGAAAGTAAGAATTCATTATTGCACCTTGCATAGGTTGTACAGAGTTCAAGAGAAGCTAGTAACACTGCAGAGATGTGCAGCTGAAACACCTGCCAGGTTGTGTGATCCCAGCTGTTGGCCAGACCCACTTAAGATTGTGCTCTCATAGAAGCAGATTAGAATTTAGAGAAATAGAAAGGAAATGAGAGGGATTTCTTTCACAGTATGCATTTGCAGTGTATGCCTAGAGCTGCACTTATGTCATATTTAGCAGACTTTCTTGAAAAGCTGAAAGTTAACCAGCACTCCACCTCACAGGAACATATTTTTCTTTCCCTTTTTAAATTTAATTTGTATTCACTTGCAGGGTGTGCCTGGATCTCGTGGTCTCCCCGGAGCTGATGGCAGAGCTGGTGTCATGGTAAGGCTTATCTCTGAGTCATTATTTCTAAACCATCTTGTTTTACATACAAATGTATGATACTTTTTGTTACCTCTTCCTAATTTTATTTATTTCTTTTATTGTTAGGGACCTGCTGGTAACCGTGGTCCTAGTGGTCCTGTTGGTGCTAAGGGTCCTAATGGTGATGCTGGCCGTCCTGGTGAGCCTGGTCTTATGGGTCCAAGAGTAAGTTTGAACTGTGCAAAAAGAAAATTACTTGCATTTTGTGGATAAAATTATTCAGAAATCCAATTGCAGGATGTCTATTCATGCCACAATTAGACTATTTCTATCAGTCCATTGGAAAAACATTCATGAGGAAGTGATTAAGCAGCATCAAAATGTTTATCAAAATTCATTTCTTTAGTATGTGGTAGCATCTAATTGCCTTGGTCATGGAGCAGCACCGTCTCGTACTGGACTCCACTGACTTGTTCTGCTTGTTATTATTTACAGAATGGGGCCATTAAGATCACATTTGAGGTGTATATCTCCTCTGTGATATGAGATGACTGATCTCAATTATTTCAATTTTATTTTGCTAATGATTTCACTGAAAACAACCAATCCACTTTATTGGTTCTGGATCCGCACGGATTATGTACATGTCAACGACTTTTGTCCTTTTAATCTTTTTTCCCTTTCTACGCACCTTTCATGAAGAGAGTTTTCACTGCATTTGTGAACTATTGAGTGTTTGCAAACTGTCTGCTAAAGTAGAACCTAAATGAGTTTATCTAAGCAAACACACTAACTTCAGCTGCATGGAAGCACACACCACAAAATTAAACTTCAGTTTAGATGAGGTGTAAACTTGATAGAACATACAGTCCCATTTGTGTGCATGCATCCCATGCATGTATTTGTAAAATAAAAAAAGTGTTGGTTTGATTGCCTTCTAAAAACATGAAACCTTTCCCTTCTCAGGGTCTCCCAGGTCAACCTGGAAGCCCAGGTCCTGCTGGCAAAGAAGGTCCTGTTGTAAGTACTCTGGTTTTAATTTTTTCCCCAGTGCATGCAAAGCATCTACAAAGATTTAAGAAGCAGAAATCTGAACTCTAATACAGCTACTTAAAACCAGTGAGACTCTACTACTCAATTACTCAGATCTGTAAAAAGACTTTCCATTCACTTCTTAGATGGGATCTTAAATGGGGTCTTGGTCCTGGGAGGGGAAGAAGAAATACAGAGCTCTATAAAAAGGAGGAAAAGGGAGGAATGCAGGTGCATGTGATATATGATCAGTGTTTAGAAGTTAAATGACAATGACTTTGTGAGTACACTTTTCTCCACCAGTCATTTCATAGGTATGTTTTCTGTTTCTAGGGTTTCCCTGGAGCAGATGGTAGGGTTGGGCCAATTGGTGCAGCTGGTAATAGAGGTGAACCTGGCAACATTGGATTCCCTGGACCAAAAGGTCCCACTGTAAGTACAGTAGAGAAAGTTTATTTCTAAGTTGTAGGCACCCAACTCTTAACAGTCAAATGTATCTGCGTATTCCTGTTCTGTCTATTGAATGGTATTTGCTCACTTTCAAGAGTTTGTTCTTAAATTGCTTTCCAATTATCTAAAATATGGCTAAACAAACAGTAATATACTTAATTTGGGAATACTTGGACATTGAAGTGATGAGATTAATAATGTCTGTATTATCATTTCTTCATGTCCATTTTATCACTTCTGTATATACAATTCAGTAAAAGTTCTGTAGAAGTTGAACATGAAATCTTTATTTTTGGAGCACAATTCAAATCTTACTCACTTTAGAAGAAAAGCTACCATCAGTTTCATTTTTCACTGGGGCTCTTGATATGACTCACAGAGGAAACAGATAATAGTACTTTCTCTGGATGTGTGGTGTTGCTGTGCACACATGGGTATTAGTGTATTACGTACAAAACTGCACAGCATACCAGGAGCTTGCATTACTATCTCAAAAATAATCAAACAGTTTTGAAAAGACAAAATACTTCTTTCCATTATTGCTCTTCTTCTCTGATTCAACAAGCAAGATATACTTTGTGGCTTTTTAAATTAAAGAAATGTTACAATGAATCTTTCATCCAGGAAGTATCACCTTCTATCCAGTAGTATAATCCGAACCTCATATGAAGTCTTAATTAACTTCCATGTGTTTTTTTTTTCTCTTTCACCTTCAGGGTGAACCTGGCAAGCCTGGTGAAAAAGGCAATGTTGGTCTTGCTGGCCCACGGGTATGTGGATATGTCTTTTGCAACTTCCAGAGAGAAATGTAGATTTTCAAAGCCTCTTTTATAAGATAGCATTGTCTTGTAAAAGCATGAAGGGGTGACAAAACAGGAGAGTACTTTGGAATGCATTCACATAGCTTCATGTCAGTGGAGACCATTACTTGAAGATAAATATTAGCGCAAATGAAAATTACTCTTGTTAAATATGGATTAGGTAATTAATTATTGGGTATTAGCTTCCTATTAAAAGGAACAAATAGCAATTCCTTTGTAAATTTCTGTGGAGGGTGTGAAGTTTTTATCTTACCCTGTAAATTTTCAACACTTCCCTACTGATAAATGGAAGATTTCGTAAATCTCATCTAAGGAATCAAATAATTGATCTGTTCTGGGAAAAAATGCCACCTATTGACCAGATTTCTGTATCTGTAATTCCAAAGGATTTTTTGTAAGGATAAAGGTACTGCAATAACTTAAAATTACCTATCGCAATTTAGTTTTGTAAGCATCTGTATTACCTTTTGATAGAGAAGCTCTTATGAGCAAATAGGTAAGTTGAGGAAACATAGGGCTTCAACTTAAATGTAGCAGTATGAGTTCAAAATAAGCAGCCAGAGACCTTTGGTTTTGGCACAGAAGCACTTTAGACAGATACTACTCATAAAAAATAAAAACTTTGTTAACAGCTTTCTGCTTGAACATATTTAGGGTGCTCCTGGTCCTGAGGGAAACAACGGTGCTCAAGGTCCTCCTGGTGTCACTGTAAGTAACAGCCTCCACACAAATATCCAATTTGTGACTTATTTTTCATCACTGTGACTTCTCATTTTCAAATTCATTTTCTTCTATCCAGGGCAACCAAGGTGCAAAGGGAGAAACAGGTCCTGCTGGCCCTCCAGGCTTCCAGGTGAGAAGCTATTGTGCTCTGCCTTACTTTACCTATGGCTTACAAAGCATAAAGTTCTTCTGCCTTAACTTTATTTGTATGCTTGTTTCTTTACACTTAGGGTCTGCCGGGTCCCTCTGGTCCAGCTGGTGAAGCTGGCAAACCAGGCGAAAGGGTGAGTAGCAGATACAATACTGCTCAAGTAAAGGCATGTATTGCATAAGCTTTTTGTTAACAATTGTGGTGAAGCAAGAGTCCATTGAATCCATTTGCCAAAATGGATCTGTGTTATATGCAGAGTTTAATAATCCCTTTTGTTAAAATTAGCCATGAATGGAGGTCTTTTGGCACTTGAAGTGTACTTCCTTTTTTAAAAGTTCTTTTATGAACAGGAAAAAAAAAGTCCTTTGCTTTTGAGGCCATAAACAACAATATAACATCCCCATAAAAGACAAGGCAGCACATGAAGAACGCTGTATTCCAGATTTCCTTTGAAATGGGCAAGGTTCAATCTAACCAGCATTACTCCAGTTTCATGCCTTTGCTCATCTGCTGATATTCAGTGGGTTTACAATGGCATACAATGGAGATAACTTGGTAATGGTTCAGGCACCAGGTTCTGCACAGTTCGTGTGTGATGAAACCTGCAAATTGTGCCTCCTGTGCATCATATCAGCCATTTAAGTTGGTAGTTCTTCACACTGAGACATGGAATGATTGAGTTTACACTGCATGTGCCTGACCAAAGAGCTTGAAATTTAATAACTAACTCTCTTCAGATGAGAAGTGCATCTCTTAGCGTGTGTGCTTTGAGATTTTGTGCAATTATATGAAAACAGCTTATGTATCTAAAAAACTGATTTTAGTCTGAAGATTTTCAACATACTGCTGAAATTTGAGAAGCATTTCTATTTACTGCTAATAAACAAAGTTCAAAAGTTCAATGTGAGCTAATAAGTTTGCTCTTGAAATAAACTTTATCAATCCATCTCTTCTCTTCTAGGGTCTCCATGGTGAATTTGGTGTCCCTGGTCCTGCTGGCCCAAGGGTAAGTGACTCATCTGAAATCTAATAGAGACTTGTCTTAATGAAGCATTTAGAATTAGTATGAACTGTATGCACTTACAAGTTTCTCAAGACAAGCTACTTTTCTCAAGTACAGAATACCATGTATTGCAGCAGACTCCCTGGAAGCAGAATTTTTTCTGCTCTTTCTGCTTGTCAGGATATGCCTGATTATACAGTACAATAGTTGTCATTGTTAGTAAACTTCTGGATAAGGAATACAAATACCTGAGTAATGATGTCCTGATGATCTGGTTTAATATGTTTTTTATGTTAACTTCTCAATGGGAATATGGGTGACAAAAAACCAGTCCTACAATGTTGAGGCTTGGTGCATATGAGAATTTTAACTCCATTGCCATCTACTCAAAGGGGGTAGATTTATGAGCCTCACCAATTCAGTTATACCACCCTTGCTAGGCAGCTTCCGCCTCCCGTGTGGTGTTGTGAACAAAAGGCAGGATGAGTCCAGAGCCTGGAATAATCATCAGAAGATAACGCCCTCAGCTCTCTTCACTCCTGAACTGTGAATAAAGGGCTGTAGAGAGCACACACAGTGCAATAAATAGTCAGCTCTCACATTTCAGTTTATAAAATGCTCAATTATTTACTTGCTTTCTGAATCTTTTTAGTAAGAAGTTGATATTTAAACTATTCTTCCTCTTTTCTCTGACTATAAGCATTCTGCCTTCCAGACTGAATGTACTTGTGAGTGACAAATACTCCCATTCATTCTTACGTTAATCAGTTGTGAGGTTGTTAGTAACCATGTCTTTAAAATTTCATTTTGCTAATCTATCCAGCCCAAGCTCCCTTCATCATTGTAGTAGCAGTTAACTGTCTGTGCTCTAGCTTGACGTTGTCTTTGCTCTAGCATCTTGTACTCATCCAGATTGTATTTCATTCAGCATTCCAGATTAGGTCTTACCAATGCTCAGTAAAACAAAAATTTTTAATTCCTAAAAATTCCACAGTGCTTGCATGAGGTCTCACTGGTGCTTTTCAAAGTGTGCCATCTCTCCTTGAGTCAGTTATTTGATCGCATTATAGTTCTTGTTCTAACCCCCAGATTCTCTTGTATAACTGAACATTTCCATTATGCCCTATCAGATTATTCACTGCTGTTCAGCTTGATTACACTGGGATAACCCAACATTTCTTTTTTAGTAAAAATTATATACCTACATTTGATAATCTACTGTGAATTTGAACCCAGTTTCTGGCAATTTCCACAGCTCCAGTTAATATCTTCTTTGAAATGTATCCTTATACCTGTTAGAATGTTCAGGTCACATTAGTAGGTTTTAGTTGTCACCTTTATTTCCTGCTGGCATTTGCAACTGTAAAACCAATTATTTGCCAATTTCTGTGGCCCTCATTTCTCTAGGATCCATTGTCTGACATGATTGGTACTTTGCTTTATTTGTGTCAAAAGCTAAAGCCAGTTTTTCCCACCAGTTTAATTTGCATAATTCTGATATTAATAATAGTTTGTTCAGCTGAAAATGCATCATAGTGTCACTGTTACCAGTTGGTGCTTTTAAATCTCTAACCTACAGAACAATTAAAGGAAAAACTCAAATCAGATTGTCTCTCACAGGGTGAGCGTGGTCTTCCTGGTGAAAGTGGTGCTGTTGGTCCTGCTGGTCCTATTGGAAGCCGTGGTCCATCTGGCCCACCAGGCCCTGATGGTAACAAGGTATGTCTTCTCTAGCTACCACTGCCTCACTATTGAATTGCAGGTGAGGGCAGTCAGAAACCATCTTTATTCAGTATAAATAGCTGCTAACAGGTAATCCACATGCATCATAGGTGCTGTGCTTTTTCTTCAAGTAGTAAATCTCCATAACAGCTAGTCCACACTAATGTGGATTTTTTTTCTATTGTTCATCACTGAGAGAATGGAAGGGGAGCTTCAGTTTAGAATAAATTTGTATACTGCTTGTTAGCTGGGAATACTGTTACTCTGAGATTTTGGCTAAAATTCATACTAGCCTGTTTATAGTCACCTGGGGAAAGACGTTCTTGTGTATGCTAAGCAATATTTTCCCAAAAACATTAGCAAAAACATTTGGGAAACCCAATAGTTTCCCAAAAACATGGGCTTCTGCCAAATTAAGTGTGGGGCACAATTTTCAAGATCTTCGTATGCAGTCTTCCCGTGAAGGTTTAGTTTGGAATATGGGACCACAAAATCAGAGAGAGAGTTCATGTCTGAGGTCTTCACTGAAAAATTACAAATGCACAATAGCTGGAGACCTACTACTCAGTATATTTACAAGCCAACAGAATATGGGCTTATAAGTAAAGGAAAAATGTTGTTCCATATTGCAACATTGTTCCATATTTCACCATCTCTCACACAACAACCTGTTGCTGCTAGGGTGAGCCTGGTAACGTCGGTCCTGCTGGTGCTCCTGGTCCCGCTGGGCCTGGTGGAATCCCAGGAGAGAGAGGTGTTGCAGGTATTCCAGGAGGCAAGGGTGAGAAGGTAAGGCTGATGCTTTTTATTATATATGCACAGGTCTGGGAGATGCTTGAATTTCACTAACTGAAAAAAATGCAGGTTACCCAAATACAATTTCTGTTTGCTTTGAATTGTATTTCATGGTGTCTCATTAGTTTTCAGTAAGTAAAGGTTTTGTTGGTCCAACAGAGTGACAATATTTTGAAGTACAAAGACTGTATTTTGATTTTTTGCTCAGTATTTGGAATTGGTTTAAGTGCCAGGTAGGGCTTCACAGGGTTGAGTAACAATGAGCTTACCTTTATAAAAGCAGTGTTAAATCTGAATACAGGCTTTACAGCAGGAATGGGCTTATGGATCATGAAGAACTGAGTGTTGTCTGCTCAAATCTGTAACATCTCTGCTGTGATCTCTGATGCAGTACATAAGATATATAAATAAATGGCTTAGTGAGAAGTATTGGTGGTAGGTGGACAGTTGGACTGGTTGATCTTGTAGTTCTTTTCCAACGTTGGTGATTCTATGAAATTACAAAAAATTTTTGATTGTATCAGATGCATATAATAAAAGCAGAAAATTTTAGCCAGTGCAAGCACTTGCATGGAAGCAGACTTCACAGTTTTGTGTAAGTCCTGTTGCAAATTCTGCTTCATTCATATAATTATCCGTAAAATGGATTTTTATCTTGTTAGGTACACTTTGTTCCAAGTTCTCTTCAGTTCATTATTTATACTCTAAATTGAGATTTCTATACCTTTAATTGTTTAGACTAAAAAATCTACAACTGCACTTATGCTACATGACTATAAGGAAATTAAGATGAAAATTGCTTGCAACTTTTTATAAAAGCTATGTACTGGCATGCAGATTAATGCAGAAGAGTAGGATTTCTTCAAAAAGAAGAGAAAACAGAGCACTAGTCTGACTTTTCGACACTAGTGATGACCTAGATACTATTTCTGTTATATAAAACATGGCCTTTTACATGACCACTCACAACCTCATTTTTTTAATCAGTTCTTTTCTTCCTTCAAATAGGAGACATAAATTCCCAGGAAAATTTTTACATTTGGTTCTTTTGTGACCAAAAGAAAAGGGGTTTTGAGGTAGTATTTACATTCACCATTTGGAACAGACATTTTAATTTTGAATTTTTAATTCTTGTTACCTGGAAGAAAATGAATAGATATACTTTATATAGAATAAAGTAATAATTCTGTCAAATCATATCAGTCCTCTTTGTCTACACACTTTATCTTTGTGAGTAAGTACGTACTCTTCAATAAGAATGAGGTAAGTCAAAGTCCATTCCCAAACCAAAACCAGCATAGGTATCTCTGTAGTACGTGTGCATTCAGAGAACAGCTCAGGCCTTCTTTCTGACAAACTATTTTGTACATTACCAAGATAATGGTTGCTTCCTCTATGTATTTATTTTAGGGTGCCCCAGGTCTGAGAGGTGATGCTGGTGCAACAGGAAGAGATGGTGCCCGTGTAAGTATCTTTTGGTTCTACTTGAGTTTACTTTGATGCACCTGAGTACGTAAGTGATTAAAAAGGATACTTATGGCTTTTATTTTCCAGCATATTCCATTTCCTCTAACAACTGCTTGCTTTTGATGCAAGTCAGTATGACTGTGTAGCCCCTTGTTCAGGGGTGTTTGAATTTGAGGAGTGAGAGAGAAGTGATCACTCTTCACGCATGAAAGCAGAGATATGACATTGGCAGAGATCATTATTTCATAGACAGTTGTCAGTGTGATCTCCTCTGGAACTTAATAGGCTCAGCCCATAGAGCTAATCGTAAAGGCAGCCTGCAAAGCCACACAACATTAATGTGGCATTTTGGCTGTTTGTGCTAGAATTTCATACTTTAGAAGGAAAATAACAGTATAGAATGTAAAAGACATCAGCTTATGTAAAATCTATTAAGAGTAACTGAGATAAAGTCACATGCCTATCTCCAGGAGAAAAGAGTACAAAAATTTAATTGGTGACTCTTGCTTACATTTTGTTAGAAATGATGTCCTTCTCTTAACCTATAGGGTCTCCCTGGTGCTATTGGTGCTCCTGGCCCTGCTGGTGGTGCTGGTGATCGGGTAAGTTTGCTCTTCGAATGAAAAAGTGTCTCGTTTATACAGTTTGCCCACAGTATGATTATTTAAGAGGAAGATTCTAGTCTAATAGAAAACAATTCCATCTTGTTAGGGGACACAAGTTTTGCAAGTTCTCACATTATGTGAAGCAAGTGTTATTGGGAGTTTTCCATTGCGCCCCATACCTTTTCTTAAAAGGGCAGGGAATGGATGTACATCTACATGGCAGTGGTTTTTAAGAAAATCTTTGGATTTGAACTTTGTCTGAATTCTTTCTGATTCAGGCTATGATCCCCTTCACACTGGGAAGAGGTTCTGATATGGTGTCAAACAACAACACATTAGCTCCTAATGACTCTTCATCCTGTCCAAGTATCACTAGAAATTATTCTTAACATGGGGTAGATTAAAACAGATGTGGAGAGATAGACTATAAGCATCAATACCACAAGATCTGTTTTGACATGTGTGGCCTCCCCCATGTAATGTCTCCTGTCTGTTTCAGGGTGAAGGAGGTCCTGCTGGTCCCGCTGGTCCTGCTGGTGCCCGTGGTATTCCTGTAAGAAGCAATTCCTTCAATTATTTTATCATGTCAAAGACATGATATTCACAAAAATGCCCTTTTAAAGCCAATTCCAACTAGTCCTCATTGTCTTCTCTTTAGGGTGAACGTGGTGAACCTGGTCCTGTAGGTCCTAGTGGATTTGCTGGACCTCCTGTGAGTACTGTTTTCATTTTCCTCTTATTGATGCCACACTATTCCTTTACTTTCTTGGCTTACTTTTTCAACTCCTTGTTCTGTGTGTTTCTTTTCTATAGGGTGCAGCTGGTCAGCCTGGTGCTAAAGGCGAGCGTGGCCCTAAGGGACCAAAGGGTGAAACTGGACCAACAGGTGCTATTGGGCCAATTGGTGCTTCTGGACCACCAGTAAGTGAACTGTATCTTGGTAAAATGGTTCTTAACTGTGCTATGCAAGCAATATGCTAACCTGAAGGCCTTGAATTTGAAAAGGTAATTAAAAGAAAACAAACAGAAGAAACAGAAATTCAAATTAGGCTGTGAGGAAAGTCAACATCCTGATTTTCACACATTATATAAACTAATCAATTTATTTATGTGGGCTGAGATCATGAGTCTGGAACTGAAATGAAGAGAAAAAAATTAATTTTCAACTTGTGCTGAAGATCAGCAAAATCTGTCTGTCTTGAACCATTCAAGGGGTGTTTGTGGGTAAGTTCCTGAGCTTGAGGGCCTTAGAGACAGAATGTGCTATTGCAGTCTGACTTAGATCCAGTTGTGCAGCTGTATATGTGCAAATTGGTGCACACCCTTGCAAATTAGCTTATAATATAGTCCAAAGGTTTCACATGCACGCAGCCCATTACTGGGGAAATGATGCAGAAAGAAAGGTCTTGGTATCTAAAATACTGTGAAATATTGCAAGATAACATAGGCAGAGGATCTTACTATACGCTTCTATAAGACCAGTACCAGATCTTGGAACTACATGGCTGTAGCAGTCATACTATACAAACAGAAGTCCTGCTCTTCTTTGCCTTACTACACCTTTCACATTTTACTTATAGATTTGCTTAGATGCATGTAACATTGGCAAGGCAAATGCATTTGAATCATGCATGCCTTATGCAACACTTCAATTCTTATCATATTGATTCAAGAAGTCCATGAAAATTTTTTACCCCTAAAATCATCACATTCTGTTTTGGGGCCCAAAAATTCTTCAATTAAAGTAACAAAATTAAAGAAACAAAACTGTTTCTTTTTTGTAAGAGTGAGGCTGGTCTCCTTTACTTTCCCTTATAACAGGTCTTTGCTTGATTCATCTCTCTCTTTCTGCCCTTCACACATAGGGTCCCGTTGGTGCTGCTGGTCCTGCTGGCCCTCGTGGTGATGCTGGTCCTCCTGTAAGTCCTCAGGCTTTTACCATTTGCATTGTTGCTTTCCATTAAGTCATTGTTTCCTTTAAACTAAATTTTCCTTTTGACTGTTATTTTTAGGGCATGACTGGTTTCCCTGGTGCTGCTGGAAGAGTCGGTCCTCCAGGCCCTGCTGTAAGTAACTGATGGAGAAGTTTTAATGGAAGACAAGTCTGACATTGTACTAGTGAGGGATAATCCTCATTTTTTTTACGTGACTCAAATTCTGACTATCCTGGGATTGCTTCGAATCTTTACAGGACTGGATAAGAGAGAAAATTCACAGACTGGGAATTACGTATTTAGTTGTGGGTTTTTTTTCAGAGGCTAAAAAGCATCCTTCTGAACCGTGAAGTGCCTTGCCTGTTGTAAAAATCTGACTTTAGTTTGTTTTTATTCACAGAAAGTAACTGCATAGATATTGGTTTTGAGTGGAATAAGGTCGTATCCTACCTCAAAAAGAATGTAGAGATTATCTTGTATAAACACTTTCCAAAGTATCTGCAGTTCCAACTGCTGTCTGAAGCAGGGGAGGCTCTGGTTATGTCTATGAATGTGACTTCCTATTTTCTTTTTCAGCCCAAACTTGTTATTTCCAATTGACTTTCATAAAACTTCCTTTTAACAACAGTGTTCCAAACCTTAGGAAGAGGTATTCCTTTCCTATATTTTAAATCCCACTATCCAAAGCTAATCTTAAGTTTGTTTTTTTTTTCCCTGTAGGCTTTATAGTTGCAATTGATGTCTCTAGTGTCAAATCAAATCTACATGCAAAATTATGCCATTCCCTAATTCAGTAGTTCTGCGTACTCCAGCTATGCACTGCTTAACAAATGTAGTAACAGTTGCTGCTCTGTAGCAGCTGATAACCTGTTTATTGCAAAGCACCAGTTTTGTAAATGGAATGAAACTTACTCTCTTCTCCCTATTTCTGGTTTGTGTTGTAATGATGACACTTCCATGCTTGATCCTCTAGGGCATCACTGGTCCCCCTGGTCCTCCTGGCCCAGCTGGCAAAGATGGTCCTAGAGGTCTGCGTGGTGATGTTGGTCCAGTTGGCCGTACTGGTGAACAGGGTATTGCTGGCCCACCTGGTTTTGCTGGTGAGAAAGGTCCATCTGGAGAGGCTGGTGCTGCTGTAAGTAACTCAGTATCGCATCTCGTCACAAGAGTCTCTCTTTGTGTAAATGTTACAGCTTCTAAGATACTTTTGGTACTTTTGAAGGGCATTTCTTCTTTACCAAATTTAGCAAAGTTTTTAAGCAGTAGCTCCACTGAGAGTAAGGAAACTTTTTATACATGTTTGACTAACAGACCCTAAAAGTCTGTTAGTGAGCACTACTTCTGTGTCAGGAGTCTTGTAGAAGTATCTATTTGTGTGAATTACTTCTCTATTGTTTCTCAATGTAAATATATAGAAGTTTCTTCCATAATCTTTAGAAGTTACAGCTAAGAATAAAATTGTCACTGTTAGACATGTATGTTAAAAATTTGTAGGTGACAATTGAAAATCTGCCCTGTAAGGTCTGGAATAGCGCAGAAAATTTTCTAGTTTTATATTGTAAAAAATAGAGTTGAACTAGAGGGTGTGACTGCAATTAGGAATAATAAAGTAATATTCCAGGATGACTACTTACGCCAAGTTTAGTAGCACATGCTCAAATTTTAAGCAAATTGAAAAGTCTCTTAACTAAATATACTTTGTCTTTTTAAAGATCAATAATGAGCTCTAAGGCTTGTGGGGAGATAGAAGGTACCTAGATGGTACATGATAAGGCTGTCTCAGAATCAGATGGTTGGTTTCTTCACTATGGAATTCCCTCAGCACAGTCATCTGTTAATAAAATCTTTTCATCTCACAGGGTCCCCCTGGTACCCCAGGTCCTCAGGGTATTCTTGGTGCTCCTGGTATCCTTGGTCTGCCTGGCTCTCGGGGAGAACGTGGTCTTCCAGGCATTGCTGGAGCAACAGTGAGTATGACTCATTGGCTGCACTAAACTACAAAGAGAAAAATGCTGAGGTCTCCTCTCATGGAACAGTGGTGGACAGGAGGTATAGATTCTGTTGTTTTCATTTCTGCTGCAAACAGATCTTGGTTAAATGGAGCCTACAGACTTGAGCAGTGGAAGAAATTATTGCTTGCTGCAGACAAACAAGACTTGTATCTGCAGGTGAACATATTTTTGAATGGCATCAGAAGCATCTGTTCTAAGCAAGACAGAGAAAAGCTAGAAACTTAAATATTTTGCTCTAGTTAGATATGTTTCTCATTGTCTCCCGTTTCTGTTTTGCTTCCAGAACTGACTGCAGAGAAATGCCTCTCTTAGATATAGACTGACAGTTCTGTAAGACTGGTTTTTGTTGTATTATATGTCACATTTTGTTACTACTGTTCCTGTATTAGGGTGAACCTGGTCCCCTGGGTGTTTCTGGTCCTCCTGGTGCTCGTGGTCCCTCTGGTCCTGTGGGTTCTCCCGGTCCTAATGGTGCTCCTGGTGAAGCTGGTCGTGATGTAAGCTATGAATTCTTTCCTCTCCAGTACTGCTTTGCTTTTATTCTGAGCCAAAGAGAAACACAGAGAACCTGAATGCAATTGGATGCTGTTCTGCTAGCGAACTTGTACCTTCCAGTGTCTTCGGGGAAAATAGTAGCAGAATCCCAATACACAAATCCCTTATTGGCAAGGTCTAAAACAGAGCAGTGGTACCAGGGAACATCCCCATCACAGAGCGAATTTCAGTCCTCTTTCCCGATAGCTCTGACTAGGTGACAAATTCTTCAAGGCATAAATTGTGTCTGAAGGATATCCTGGAGTCACAATCAGAATCTTTTGACTTTTTTGCTTAATTGACAAACAAGATTGAGAAGAAGCCTTCACTGCAGGAGCTGGTAAAAGCATTACATCCCATGCAACAAGCTTTTGGCTGTAGAGATGGAAGCTATGTCGGGAAGCTGATTATCTGCAATAATTTTTTTTAATGTCAGCTATGTACATAATGTTTCCTGACATACATTCCTTCACCATGAAATGTAAAGGAGGCTAAAAACATGATGAAACAAACTCTGGCCTGTGTGGCAGGTACTGCTGAGTTCGACAGATAAATTCAGGGAGTGGAGGACTTGTATCCTATCTGGAAAGGGGTACGTGGAAGTACTGAAATGTAATAAATTGCCCCCTCTAATGCCCTACCTCATCCATGATTATGCATCATCCTGCAACCAGCTTTTCATAGAGCAGTGAATAAACTTATCCATTCAACGCAGCCATCCAGATTAGTAGTTTACCTTGAAGAAGGGTATCCATACAGTTTCTAGGTATTACTTATACTCTAAGAAAAATAAAACGTTCACACGTTATAGTTCTCCTTAAGAATTTAAGATATACATTTTTCTCTGGGCATTATCAGGGAAGTTTGTTTGATAATCTGAGGCATTGTTAGTATAGAACTCTTGTACTAACTTTCCATTTACAGCAATAGAACCAAAAGTTATGAATTTCTCCTATATTGGTATTGTAAAATCTAAAATACTTGAAGGGCACCCTATTTTTCAGAGGATGTTAGTGTATGTAAGGGATTTGATTGTGGGACTTATGACAAAGTTTACCTTCAAGATTCATGCTGTTCTATCTCAATGTCTTCTAAATCTCATTGGGAGCAATTAGGCGGCACAAAGTTCTATGTGAGATATTGGTGGGCTTTAATATTTTTAAATGGTACTTTAACAGGGCAATCCTGGAAATGATGGTCCTCCAGGCCGTGATGGTGCTCCTGGTTTCAAGGTGACTATTATTTTCCTTTTATTTCATATTTACGAAAGAAATCTTCCAATATGTGTAAGTCGGTAGTAACACAGCATCTCTCTCGCATTCCCTAATTCTCAGGGTGAGCATGGTGCTCCTGGTAACCCTGGTCCCAGTGGTGCTTTGGGTGCTCCTGGTCCTCATGGCCAAGTTGGTCCTTCTGGAAAGCCTGGAAACCGTGGTGATCCTGTAAGTTGATGAGATTTTACATTTTTTTGATTGATAGATTAACACTTGTCCATCCTACATATGTGCATTTTATATACATATATGCATCAAAACCCTATAATATGTGAATAATTACTTTGCTTTCTGTAGAAATGTGTTTAGAATGGAACTTTTATTAGGTATGATATGCATCAATGACATGCATTTTCTTTTCCTGTTCCAGGGTCCTGTTGGTGCTGTTGGTCCTGCTGGTGCTTTTGGCCCAAGAGGTCTCGCTGTAAGTCTTAATTTCTATATATGTTACTACACTGATACAAGAATACAAAACATATGCTTAATGTTAAGGGCCTACAACTGCATTCAAGCACAAAAAGTAGTGCTTAAGGAGCTGTAAATATTAATAAATTTAGGATCTTGATCATCTTCTCTCATGGGATTGAACCTGAAGCTTTTGGGATTAACACTTTTTCTGGGCATCTTAACAGGATATACGTAAATATATCAGGGGCAACCTGTGGCATAATATAGAATGCTTATACTTCATTCATTCTTTGTCAGTAATATCTAATTAGGCCTTCTTTGGCATGTATATCCTTTCCTAGGGCCCACAAGGTCCACGTGGTGAGAAAGGTGAACCTGGTGATAAGGGACATAGAGGTCTGCCTGGCCTGAAGGGACACAATGGATTGCAGGGTCTTCCTGGTCTTGCTGTAAGTGAATGATTTTCATTATTTTGACTTAGTTCACTCTGCATCATCTTTCTAAAGCCATAAGGTCCAAATACTCAGTGCTCTTCACATAATAGGGTGAATTTTAATAATGTTACAGTTGATTATAGAACTGTACTATTTTTTTCTCTGAAAACTACAAACTATATTTGTCTAGCACAGAATTCAAAAAGTTCTGCCTTTGTTTAATTAGTATTTCTTCTTTTCTGGTCAGAAATTGTAAAGTTTCTGTATCAGAGAGAAGTGAGACAATTACAGATTATCTTCCTTTTAAATTCTGGTATCCCCTTTGGGAATTCTGTCTCATTTTAAAGAGAAAACCCTAAGAAACAATATAGAGACTCCTATAGATTATCCTTTTAAATAATTATTTTCACTCTTTCCTTTTATACATTTTCCTTTTATACATTTCATATCCCAACTCCACTAATGCCAGTTGCCCTAGATTTCCATTCTCTGAACCCAAATACATCTGCTGATCCCTTTTTGAATCATGTTAATACAATGTGTGGCATTGCATTTTTTTAATGAGCATGCATTTGTTTTTCCCAATAGGGTCAACACGGTGATCAAGGTCCTCCTGGTAACAATGGTCCTGCTGGCCCAAGGGTATGTGAATTTAAGAGTATATGCAAATAATTCTCTCGTTCTTTTTATGGAATATATTTCTACACTCTAATTTATATGAATCCCTATTTGTAGAGTTCCCTACTGTCATTAAACTGTTCAAGTTTCCTTCTAGGGTCCTCCTGGTCCTTCTGGTCCTCCTGGTAAGGATGGTCGCAATGGTCTCCCTGGCCCCATTGGCCCTGCTGGTGTACGTGGCTCTCATGGTAGCCAAGGCCCTGCTGTGAGTATAACTTCTATCTTGTTGATTTAACACATTTAGGTAACAGTTAAATGAAAAACATTTTAAAATCTTAGTTTATGGAGATTTATTTCTATTTTAATAGGGATTTTGAAATGTTGGTTGTTATTTAATATTCAACACTTCCCTAATAGACTTAAACCTGAAGTCCTTCTTCATTCTTTATGGCCAGTGAGTATAAGCACAAAGGTGTAGTAGTCCTACACAGTGCATCTTCTGCTTTAGTTCACAGGAGTTACCACAAAGCAGGTCCATAGGTCCTTCCTCAGATTATTGCTGAGGGTGTGAAGTCTTCAGTAGGACAATGTATGTGTGAAAATAGTCTGCTGAAATAATCATATTTGTAATAGAATACTTCTTGACTTTTGCTTTTGACAAACTTCAGGGTCCCCCTGGTCCTCCTGGTCCCCCTGGTCCTCCTGGTCCCAATGGTGGTGGATATGAAGTTGGCTTTGATGCAGAATACTACCGGGCTGATCAGCCTTCTCTCAGACCCAAGGATTATGAAGTTGATGCCACTCTGAAAACATTGAACAACCAAATTGAGACCCTGCTGACCCCAGAAGGCTCCAAAAAGAACCCAGCTCGCACCTGCCGTGACCTCAGACTTAGCCACCCAGAATGGAGCAGCGGTACGTTAGTGCCAGATATTTGCCCTTTTTGGCTCAGCAAGTTATTTTCAGCTTATTAGCTTTCTTTGAATGGTAACCCTGGTCAACCAGTGAAAATACTAAATGGCCAGTGAAGACGTTCTGTGCCTCCAATGAAAATGCATATCTTCGAGGACATTCAGAGACATTCAAAACATCTACTATTGTGCAATTATTGCGGTCTTTTTTAAAAATAATGTAAAAACATTTAATCCCAGTTTTTGAATACAGTTAATTTCTTACACATTGACTGTTTAAAAGCTGTAGTTCTCCCAATTATCACTTCAATACTGTACTTAGCTGTGTTTTTTATGACCTCTCTGAGCTTCTATATCAAACCAATGAATATAAACTGAACGCAAGTGTTTCTTTCCTCAAAGGTTTCTACTGGATTGATCCTAACCAAGGCTGCACTGCAGATGCCATTAGAGCATACTGTGACTTTGCCACTGGTGAGACTTGCATCCATGCTAGCCCTGAAGATATTCCAACTAAGACCTGGTATGTCAGCAAGAATCCCAAGGACAAAAAGCACATATGGTTCGGTGAAACTATCAATGGTGGTACTCAGGTATGTGATGCATTGGAGGATGATTGTTTTCTACAGTGCTTTCTGAAGAATTCCCTACCCGCTGACTCTCAGTGAGCAGAACTCATTAATTAAACTCTTAGAGGAAAAATATGAAAAGGGGAACAGCTACATTTTATCTCAAGAGAACAGGGTTCCAGTTCTGGCTTCAAACACAATTTGCTAAAGAGATTTTCTAGTATTGTTCTAATTTTTCTTAGTGTCTGCCAGTGATCAATTCAGCATCATTAGTGGCCATTTCTAAGGGAATCCTGGCCTGGAATGTGCTACTTTAGTACAAAGACAGTCTGGAAACTGAGACAGTAATAATAATTTTTGCTATTTTTTAAATTGGGATTTATTTTTGACATATTGTGCTATTCTTAAAGATATTTTTATTACACACAACAGATCCTAAGTGTATGCCATTGTAGCACTCAGAATTGCCATTAAGTAAAATCAAGAAATATATCTACCTGCATGTCAGACATGCTGGAAAGACCTTTTTGTACAATTAAGAATTAATTTCATAATTTTTAAATGAAAGTGAATTAGTCTTATAATGAAATCCCAGTTTCCAAGATCTTTAATATAAAAACAGAGAAGTTTATCACTGGGTCAGAACAAGGACCCAGGGTACTCTAGAGTCCTATTTCTCACATTGGCTGAAAGCAGTTGCTGTTAAAGAATATAAAGAAGCAAACATTCATAACATCCACAGACACTACTCTATAAGACTAAAATAAGAAATAAAAAATCAGGGCTTTCTTGAGCCAGACATTGTCTGTGTATTTATGGAAACAATGGTTTTTTCTTCTTTTGAATATGTCTTTCATCTTTAAATCCCCATAAACTGCTAACAACAACCATGTCTTGCATCAGAGTTCTACAACTTAACTCCATCCACTTCTTGTGCTCAGCTTTCACCTTACTTCCTGCTAGTTCTATGTGGTGTTGTCTAGCTCTGCAGTTGAAATAGGCAACTGATCTCAGACATTTTTGGTCTTTATTTTTTTTTTCTATTCCTACAGAAAATATGTAAACATTCACTTTTCCCCAGAAATTCAATTGAGTGGGTTTCTTTGTCTTTTTCAGTTTGAATACAATGGTGAAGGTGTGACCACAAAGGACATGGCCACTCAACTTGCCTTCATGCGTCTGCTGGCCAACCATGCCTCCCAGAACATCACCTACCACTGCAAGAACAGCATTGCCTACATGGATGAGGAGACTGGAAACCTTAAAAAGGCTGTTATACTCCAGGGATCCAATGATGTTGAACTACGAGCTGAAGGCAACAGCAGATTCACTTTCAGTGTTCTTGTGGATGGCTGCTCTGTAAGTAACACAGAAAGCATAGGCAGTATGATTGTATTAATGACAGTTGTGCTTTGATTCAGAACTAGATTATCAGTCAGACCAGAAAAAATTTATCCATGAGGATAAATAGCCTATAGAACCGACTGTGCCAGGTCTTTAATAAGTGACAAAGACTGAGGTGCTAACAAATCCTTCCTGTACTGTGACAAAAGAAAAAGCTTTTCTGAGGAACCAGACCCAAATTCTGTGGAAACTGAAGCGTGCTGAGAAAGGTGCAGGAGGGGCAGGGTCAAGTCTTCAAAAGATCAAGCAAGGTTCACTGTGTGTTTAATCAGTATGAATAATAAGGAAAAGTTGAAGTAAATGTTTTCTCTGTATTAGAGTTAGAAAAAATTGGATATGGGTATCTTATTTGCAAACAGTGGCAGTAAAATTTAAGTAAAATTATTTCAGAAATTATCCAGTTAGATGAAACAATTCTCAATTCTATGAACGATGCAATAACAATTCTAATACGTCTTCTCTTGCAGAGAAAGAACAACAAATGGGGCAAAACAATCATTGAGTACAGAACAAATAAGCCATCTCGCTTGCCCATCCTTGACATTGCACCTTTGGACATTGGTGGCGCTGACCAAGAATTCGGTTTGCACATTGGCCCAGTCTGTTTCAAATGAATGAACTAAAATTAACTTAAAGGCCCCCCCCCAGAATTATTCTTTGTCATTTCTTTTTGTAATGAGAGCTGACTCCTTCCATTTTTTCTGTTCATCTACTTGCTTAAACTCTGGGCGAAAGAGAAGGAGAAGAACTGATTGGAGCATTGTGCAATGAAACTTAATACAGCCCCAAAAGGACTTGGAAGTCTTTCAAGATTTAACACCTTGCTTTGGGAAATGTCAACCTTTGTAAAGAAAAAAAAAACCAAAAAAAAAAAACCAAAAAAATAAAATAAAAAATCATGAAAGTTTGCACCACTTGTGGCCTTTGACTATCTTCCACAGAGGAAGTTTAAAACCACGACTTCCAAAGGTTTAAACTACCTCATACACTAAACCAAGTGTGATCCACATCCTTTGTAGGCACTTCTCCATATCATATGAGTTACTTTCAGTTCCACTCAGAATATAGTGGTGCTAATTTCATTATTCCAGAGTATGTTTCCAATACTTGAATTTTGATGGTGCTAGAAGCGGTTAAAGTATTACTTCTCTGTTTCTTTAAAATCTATCTCATCCCCAGCTTAAGCATGTGGATCATTTTTCCTCATCTTTGTCCTCTTCCTCCAAAATCAGGTATTTCTGCTTCCAAATCTCATCTTCGTTTTCTCCAATGGATAAAAAAGAATCATCATTTCTCAAAAGAAAAAAAAAGAAAATGTATTTTGTATATGTGAGATGTTTAAATAAATTGTGAAAAGAAAAAAAAATAAAGCATGTCCAGTGTTCCAAAAGAAGGTATTGAATGAGTAAAGTTACTTGCTTAGGTGCATCAGCAGAAATTCATACTAAGAATTTAGATTTTGTCTTCATTATTTCTTAAATTATTGCTGTAAAATATTTGCTTACAGCATTCAAAGACTGCCTACTGCTGTCTTTTGACTGTAATTGTCTACTTCAATTAAACATCCCCTTTTGAGGAAGTCCAAAAAAACCCATACCTCTTCAAAAGTAGAAAAGATTCTTCATTTTATCTGAATTCTAAACAAAATTAATGACTAAAAGAAGGATAATCATCTCACTTAAAATAGACAGAAAATGAGGGCTCTGCCTTGTGGAAAACTTACTGTGGAGAGAGCTCTGCTGGCTGATGCTCTTCTGCAATCTGCAGGCATGTGTACTTTTAAAATAACGTGGAGGAAGAGTCAGATCAGGCTTCACTAGGCCTTTATACCTCATTCAGTTGTGTATAAACAGATCTATCTGCTGTTAACTTAAATAATTTACTGTCACAATGAACATGCTGAAAACCAAAGACATTTCTTGGCTCACACTTTTTAAGATGCTGCTACCATTCAGTGCTTTTCTAAAAGCCTGAAATGAACAGTAGTTTCACCAGCTGTGTTTTGGCACTGGGAGGGTCTTGAGAGGTGCTGGAGAGATACGCAAGAACATGAGGACAGCAACTGAAGCAGGAAAGGGAAGAGCTGAGATGGGCTTAATCAGCAGGAATCCGCAAAGGAAAGCCTGGAGAAAATAACCAGAAGATCCTGTAACATGAACACAGCACTATCCCAAAGGTTAGTGGGTGAGTAAAGTCCAAAAGCTGCTCTGGACAATGAAAAGAGGAATAAGCACTATTTCTCAAGGAAGTTTTTCATTCTTGTGTGCAATTAATTGCTTAACAGAGAAAGGGCAAATAGGAAAACACAGCCTGGTGTGCAGCTGCTGTGTGCTCACAGCTAGTTGTGTGCTGCGTACATAAAAGAGGAAATGTTTGCAGCTCTGTGCTAGATTAACAATAGGGAAATTACCATGATAAAATATAGCCTTTTTACTCATTCTTAAATGAGTAAAATGCAATTTAATGTAAATACCCACCATTATTCATTGGACCATGATGATTTGCGAAGTGTTAGCATTTCACTGTCTTAGTATTTAAAAATATATGCTTTTGTTGTAAAGAAAAAAAAATATTGAAATATTAAGAGTTTGTTTTTTCACCTAGATTATCCAGAAGCCAGGAATTTTCTACTGGGCTGCAAAGATAGAATTACTTTCCTGAGTCCATGTAACCCACTAGGAAGTATGCAAGCATTATTGCCAGGGCTGGGAGGTGGGCTACTGCTGCCCATACCTTTGTGAGAAGGGGAAAAAAAGTGCAATACTTGTGATTTTGAAGGGAAAGGGCAAATATTCTCTCTTTGGTCATCTTCTGATTTCTCCTGTGCTCTGTCTGATCTATTTTATGGCACTTCCTTCCAGATGAAGAGTGCTTCCATTCTACCTCCACCAGCCCTTTAGTTGTACCCAAGGTCTGTGTCTTTTTGCACCTTTGCCACTGAAGTGGGCTTGGTCAGAAATCAAACCAGAAGAAAAAAACAGCCCCCACCTCACAGTGGGTATTAGCACCTGGACAATACTGTTTGGCCTTTGGGTTTTGAACTCATTAGAAATTACTGCACAATCAAGCATTATTCCAGTGCTATGCACAATGTTGCAGGGCTTCTTTCTTCTCCAAGGACCATAGCTGAAAATAAGTAAGGTGAGTTGCGCACAGTGCAGGGAGTCTTCATACTGTCTCATTTCAGAAATATAATGTGTTGAATAAATTTTTGGTGAAGTTCACTTACTTGTCTCTGGGAGTTGTCTGCCTCCCTGTGCAAATTATCTCTGCAGAATTTAATAACAAGCAGGTGTGCATCAGCAGTAACGCAAGTAGACCATCAGCACTGAGAAGCTAAAACAGTGGGGTTAAAGCCACTGCCAAATCCAGGGCTCAGCTGTGATACAGCTGTAAATGGCAGTCCTGGAGCATTTGGCCCAATATGTGCTGCAGGTCCAAACACCCACCTGTGTGGTCAGTGGAAGTGAGAAGGGCTAATGGGTGGAACACACAGCCTTCCTAGGAGATGGCAGAGGCTGAGATGTTCCTGTCAGTAACTTGGCTGGAGCCTGATGTCTCTAGTGCAAATATACTTTACAGCATCCATGGTGGTTCCTGAAAACTTAGCAGAAGCAGGGCTCTCTGCAGCACGTGCTTTTGTATGAACATGGCATAAGTAGGTGAAAAACAGCGGTGGGGAAAGGGAACATGGTAAATTCAACCAATGCAGAGAGAAAAGAAATGCTAAAACTGAGAAAGAGGTTATTGAAGGGAAAATTGTAACTGTCCAGGCTTCTTCTCTGGGGAGAAAATCATGACCCACTGAGAATCATCTTCAAGATCTGCATAGACCATTTTGAAACACAAATATTGTGCTCAGGGCTATGAATAGGCAAGTTATCTTCTGTTTCCATGATGCAGCTTTAAATTGCACCTTTTGATGTAACTTTGATTTCTTCTACTGTAGTGCTTGGAGGTTTCAGACAGGCTCTCCTAGAAGCTATTATTCTGGAACCCACTCAATCCAGTTTTACGGTATTAGAATCGTGTATACTGATGCCAAACAATGCAAGAATAGCCCATTCAAATAAAGCAGTTTTCAGACACACTATAAGAAGTAGCTTATAATTCATCTCCTTACATGCAGTCTTTGTTATTGGCTTATTAAAAAAGCAGTATTTTTTCATGTTCTTTCCATATATATATATCAGATGCAGCCTGAACGCACTCTGCAAAGCATATGCAAAGATCTTCCACAGCTATGACTATTTCTATGCTCCTGGGCTGGAACACATTAGTCTGTTTTTGGACATTGAGTGGTTGGGTGCAGGCATTGCATGAAAAAAATTTCCTAGCCACAATTCCAAGCTTAAGTATATTCTCTAGCTAATCATGAAACGATGGCTCTCATTAACCCAAACATAAGGATCCGAAGAAATACATTTGCCCTAAAGCCTAAATATATTTTGATAGCAAGATTTTGAAATCCACGTAATTCATTACAATAATTATTTCAATGTAAAAACCATATTTTATATATATATATATATATATATATATATATATATACACATATAATTTTCTCATGTTGCTTTTCAAGCTACAGAAATTGGCTCTTTGAGTGAAATGAAACAAGTTCTTAAGACCATGAGTGAAATAGCAGAGTGATTCCGCAAGTGCAGTGCACCACCTATTGACTCCAGCAGTCATTACTCAGGCCATTGAAGAGTTCTAGCATAGCTGCTACCTGCCATGGTTACTACTGAAATCTTTTGAGCTGTGTGGCCAGGAATATCCCAAGGGATATTTCAGCAAAATATCAGCACCACAATTCTTCTACAAATAAACTGGCTTGCCAGAAGAATGCCCATCCAACCCAGGAAAGATCCTGGCAGCAAAATGCAGCCTTATGCAGGGTATAGAAAAAAAACCAAGATGAGAATACTCATAATCTAGTTATAGTTTTCAGTGACTATGAAACCAAAGCAGGAGAGGCAAACTCATCTGACTGATAGCTCTTCAGTGAATTCAATGCTTATTCAGCTCCCATGGATGGGCCTCAGTCTTTAAGCATACTCTTTGCTTTTGGAGGAGAAAATCAAGTGGAGAAACTGAGGTTTCATTTCCATTTTGAAGCTGTTTTACATTTCTCTGTAACTTTGAGGATGCAGAGAAGTCTTCTACAAAACAGGAGGTGTTTGTAAGGCTTGTGCCCTCTACATAGAGTGGAAGCACAATCAAAGGCAACAAGCCAGACCAAAGATCTCTGCTGTTTTTATTTGCTGCTCTTTTGTACCTACATCAAGGCCTGCATTTTTCCTTAGCTGTTGGTTCACCTCTTCAGTAACAAAATATCTTCTTCCTTCTCCTATGCCCACTGTATTTGAGAGTTTTTGCCTTCAGCTTTGAAATAGTTTTTAGATCCTTCTCCTCCAGCACTGTAGAAAGGATGACATCTCAAGAACACTAAATTCTGGCGTGTACCATGAAAATATGCAGATGAGCAGTGCAGAGAGAGCCCTATCAATTTCTGCTGAGATAGAAGGGCTGATGTAAGGCATTGCTGAGGATACAGGCTTCAGTAGATCACTGCATAAGAATTTGTTCAGGTTTTGGGCATTAGGGAAGGTCATATTCTGTTAGTGAAAGATTTCAATACAAGCATTTTTATAGCATAAGCAAAGATATGGAATGACAAAAATTAGATCCATATGTCTCTCACTTGAGCAATTATTGAAGTGTGTCACCCACAGGACATTTGAAGCTACAAGCAAACAATAACAGCTGCCTTGCAGGTTCCAGCTCACCAGGCTTTTATGCATAATTTATAGGAATGGCATAGCTACTCAGCTATCTCTTAATTCCCAGGTGATAAATCC